GTGATTCTCCTCCCGCAGCTTGTGGTTCTCCTCCTGGAGTCTTTTGTTGTCTCTATGGAGTGGTCCATCTCTTTGGAGCAGCTCAGAGAGTCTCAGGATCTCCTGATCCTTCTCTCTGAGCTGCTGCTCCAGCAGCTCGTCCCTGGTGTCCATGATGTCTCCCCACATCATGGACTGGCTGCTGGAAGATGCTTCCTCATTGTGGAGACTCTCTGCGATGGTCTGCCGCTGTGCTTCCTCCAGCTCCTTGCACTGGCGTTGGCTTTTGTCCAGAAGTGCCTCCAACTGGCCGATTCTGTGGTCGGCACTCTGGACCTGCTGGAGGAAGCATCGCTTCTCCTTGAGGAGCTCTTCCACACGTTGGATTGCCGCGTTCAGGGACTGCTGCATCCCTGCCAGGTTTGATGGCACAGCGTCAGGAGCAGCGCGGTGAGGAGTGTTCATATATCCTCCTCTGCGTATGCTCTGATAGTTTCTCTGGGCCATGATGGTATGGAACAGAAGCTCTACAGAAACAGAGCAGATGATGGTTGTTAAGATGAGATGAGATAAAATGCAATACAGTGAAATAAGACACAAAAAATTTAGATGAGAAATGCGAAGAGACAATAAGAGACGATTAAGTTAGATAAGATACAATAAAATAGGAAAAGAAACAATAAGATACAATAAAAGAAGATACAATAAGATAAGACACAATAAGATAAGACAGCATACGATAAAATAAGACAAGATAAAGTATGACATCATAAAATGATATGATGAAAAAAATAAGATGAAATAAGATATCACAAGATACGAGAAGATACAATAAAATACGATACGATGAGATAAGATTTAGTATAATAAGATAAGACAATAAAATAAGACAACATACGATAAAAAAAGATAAGATAAAATATAATCTAATAAAATGAGATATGATAAGATGCAATAAAATAAGATAAAGAAACCACAAAATAAGATAAGACAACATATGATGTCACGTCTTTCGGTCAAAGACATTAATAATTTCACAAGAGTGATAAGTTAGTGAAAAAGTTACGAATAAGTTCATAGTGTATAAATAAATAAGTTAATATAATTTTAAAGACTGTTAAAAGCTATGGTTAGAAAGTTATGAGAGTGAGACATCTTGATAAAGGATCATCTGGATACAAACTATCTTTGACGTTTTTCCTCTCGGTGTAAAAGCAGCCAGCAGTCAGTCCGGCACAAAGCAAGTTTGGAAAACCCTCTAAATACTCTGTGTTGGTTCTGAAACGTTTGAGCCTTGGGACATTTTCGTCTTTGTGAGTATTATGTGTACAAAGCGCTCATATAAAGGCCACAAATGTCTTGAACTATCACGTTTCCATGAGCAGTTTGTGATGTGTTTCATGTGTGTTAGCTCGCTGTTTGTGTTTAGCAGAGCACATGCAGCACGTAGATGGTCATCACATGTTTCTGTATGTTACAGTCACTAATTGTCACGTTTGACTACAAGAAACCTCCATAAATACAAGAAAAGAAAAAAGCCTTGTGTACGGAGTTTTCTTCAATAGTTAGCTGGCTGTCCAGCAGCACATACGATAAAATAAGACAAAATATGATATAATAAAATGATATATGATGAAAAAAACAAGATAAGTTAAAAATATGATATAATAAAATGATATATGATGAAAAAAACAAGATAAGTTAAAAATATGATATAATAAAATGATATATGATGAAAAAAATAAGATAAGTTAAGATGAAGTAAGATATCACAAGATATAATAAAGATATAATAAAATAAGATACAATGAGATAAGATAAGACAACATATGTCACGTCTTTGGGTCAAAGACATTAATAATTTCACAAGAGTGATAAGTTAGTGAAAAAGTTACAAATAAGTTCATAGTGTATAAATAAATTAGTTAATTTCATGTTAAAGACTGTTAAAAGCTATGGTTAGAAAGTTCAAGAGACATCTTGATAAAGGATCGTTGTGGTTCCAGCAGAGTGAGAGCTCATTTGGATACAAACTATCTTTGACATTTTTCCTCTCGGTGAAAAAACATACGATAAAATAAGATAAAATATGATCGAATAAAATGAGATATGATCAAAAAAATAAGATGAAATAAGATATCACAAGATATAATACGATATGATAAAATAAGATACGATGAAATAAGAGATCACAAGATAGGAGAAGATACAATAAAATACGATACGATGAGATAACATTGAGTATAAGACAATAAAATAAGACAACATACAATAAAAAAAGATAAGATACAATAAAATGTGTTCAACAATGATATCTGGAGATATTTTTATTTGTCTCCAGTTTCACTCAGAACGTTCCACGTTCTGTGCCAGAATTCTGACGTCATCTTTTGAACCAAAAGTGTGCTTTTGTACATGTATTTATTGGCATATGTCGACAACC